TAATTCGGTTTTAAAAAACTTTTCTAATTCCCGAATAATTTTGAACATGACCTGCTGTTACACTTACATTCAGGGTTTCAAAACTACAAGCTGTATACTTTCCGTGTACGGAAAACCATGCATTTCTCTACGGTGTTAAGAGGAGACCATATGAGGTTCAGAAACTTAAGCAGTGGATTTGAGCAATATTGTTAACTTTACAAGCATTCTCAAAAGAAGGGTACAATTCCGTTTTTAAAAAGTTTCTAATTGTGAGATTTTTTAATACCGTTAAATGGCCGTTCATGAAACGTCATGTATCTGCATTTACGAATGTGGCTTGTAAAGTTAACAATATTGCTCAAATCCACTGCTAAATTTTATGAACCTCATATGGTCTCCTCTTAACACCGTAGAGAAATGCATGGTTTTCCGTACACGGAAAATAAACAGCTTGTACTTTTGAAACCCTGAATGCAAGTGTAACAGCAGGTCGGGTTCAAAATTTTTCGGGAATGAGAAAAGTTTTTTAAAACCGAACTATACCCTTCTTTGGGTATGACATTGGATGAAGACGTGATTTTCTACCGAACAGGTAAAAGAATGAATATTTTTATGCATTTTTTTCCATGAAATATAATGAAAGTTTCAAGGGCATTGAAAATCAATGAGAAAATTGCTACTTAATTAGTCATTTTTTTGCAGAGTATAGATCTTGCATGCAGCCGAAAATAAGTTCTTTCGAAAGCCGCCACCCTGAGGTAACTGGATCATTATAGATTTATGCTGCATCATGATTAGTGTTACAACACTACTTAATTTATCTTTTCGAAACGAGAACGCATTTCGAAATTTTGGTTGACATTTCATGAGTTAGCACATCTACTTGACCAGGATTTTTCACCAACAACAACAACAACACCTCAACAGGGGTCAGCAGGAGGGGGAGGATGACTGGGCAGCTATGCCCACCCTGCCCAGCGGGAGCGCAAACGCATCTACCGACAGGGACATATAGAACCGCAGACAGCCGCCTTCAAGCCTGCGTCATTGATCGTTAAGTAGCAGACGTCTCCTATGAATGTCGCCTGTTATATTTCTAATTTTATCTCTGAGGATCAACTCCTGCACGAGTCCGAATGAATGGTGGAATAAATGTTCAGTTCAGTCTTAATAAGGGAAGTATAGGCGAACGCCTTTGAATTCCCTATTGGGTACAAATCGCATGAGGAAGGTATTGATAAGTGGAAAGTTAAAAAGGGATTTTTTACATAATTGCATGCGAAAGGCAGCTGCCAGCCAGTTGAAAAGGGGTACGTTTGAACGGCTACTCACTTATTGTAAGTAGCATAAACGTGGGCAAGTTGGATGAGGGGTATGAGTGTGTGCGGGGCTATTAATTCGGAAATTGGATACGTGTCGAGTCTACACTTAAATGAATCCACACAGGAGGCAAGTACAACATCAGTAGGAACAGTGTTTTACGCTGCAGCTACTCTGTTATTGTGGTGGAGGAGTACTCACCGATCGTCCTTACGGAACTCACTCGTTCCGTTGTGCCTTACAGGCTCTCATTCGAGCCCAACAAGCAGCCACACAACGGCGCAAGATAGCGACAGAATTTTATCACCGACAAAGACCAGACAGCATTGGTTAACGAACATTTGCGATGCTGTATATGCGGACATCGCACGGTCTTACAAATCTCATAATTAAAAACTTTTTTAAAACCTAAATGTGCACTTTCTTCGGGTAGAATATATGACTAAAATGTGATTTTCTGCCAACCAAGTGAAAAAAAGCATATTTTGTGCATGTTTTCTGTGAAATATATTTGAATTTATTAGACCATCGAAAATCAACGTGGAAAATGCATACTACATATGGATTTATTTATTACCGAGTGTGGTTTCTGCAGTACGTCAGAAAGGAGTTCTCTCAAAAGCTGACATCCTGGAGAGTCCGACATACTATGGAATTGTCTTCCATGATAATCACTATTACAGCGTCACCTAAGTAATTCTTCCTAA